TCCAAAAGTCACATACGCTTTGTTCAGCCGACCCAAAAACATCGCATTGCATGCAGTACCCTTTCCGTTCATTAATCTCTCCAAAATCACTTTCTGTCAGAGTTCTTCACTTTTTCAATTTTCCGTGGCAGCCGCGGTTTGGAAGGAGCTGTCGACTCGCCACAGTTCCAATAGTTTCATCTCGTTTTTTATCATCTCGCGCGACCAATACGCACGTGAACATCAACGTTCTCTCAAGGTCTTTCCAAAGAGTGCGAGCCAAAGACAACTGCATAGTTCTTCTCTCTCGCACGTTTTCTTCCCCTTTGTTTGTGGTACCTACAGACAGTACATAAACATCAGGGCTGGAAAATGTTTACGATTGGAGGTAAACTTCTGCTCTAAAGCCTCTGTTCACCTACAAACTAACATCATCGAGTGGCCGTCACTGCCACTTCAACACGAAAATGTTGTTTATAGTTGGTGTGGTGGGGGCTGTTGTCAATTATCGTTTCTTGCAATACTTTAAACCCTCGATCGATAACATTTATTAGTCGGAGAGCGCAATGCCGCGTCCGATGGACCAAAGGAAAAGGGTACAGCTGCAGAAGGCCTCTTTCAAACTCTTCGACATACGCAATCATAACTCGTTCCATTTACGTCATAAGCAAACGCAGCATATATAATTACAACTACTTCGGCCTTCTAAACCATCATCACTTGGAACCAACACAAAAATACCAAAAATCACGTTAGCCGTTCCAGTTTTCCGTGATAAAATTTGGAACGGAAAACCAAAGACGCGGTCAGTATACACAAACGCGAAGCAAAAGAACCGTCCAAAACAGAAAAATCGCTTTAGTGTTCATCCTTCAAGCGCCGATACGCTTAAGTACTTCTACAGACCAACAGGACGAAAAATTCGTTTAGATTCCGAAAAACCCGAAACACAGAGGGCTTTTTGAGTAAGGTACATTCAATTATTAATAAATTGAATGCTGCCAATGAATGCGGCGAACAAATTTATTCATTTCTACATGTTGTTGCCCTTTCAATGTTCAAAAATACTTGAAGCACTTGAAATTTTATTTGTAGCGCGTGATCACTTCAACAAAGAAAACAACTCAAAGCAGTTGCATGGGAGCAACTTACGAACGATAGTAACCCTCTCCCCTTGACCTTTGATTTTCACCCATATATACCCATATCTGTCACTACCATAGATATCAGGATCGGAAGGGGACACTTTGGTTTCAGACGGCTGATCAGAGAGTTCGAAGTAAAGAAAAACCGGTGTGAATCAGCCAACGTATACCATCTCATTCCAAGGGCGCCACACAATAATATCTACCGTCCACTTGAAGCGATCACCGACCCAACCCTTAGCCAAAACTTCTTTATTTCTAATGCCTGACCTGACTGATCGTAGCCAAATCGATCTTCTTACTAAACTTTTTTTNTTTTTTTGTATTTAATACTATCCGAATTCGAATAATACCCATTCTGCCGAAAGGAGGTTACTGTTTTTCCGATTTATTCGAAATAATTGAACTCAAATCCATGACGGAAAACTCGGCCGGCCGAAAGATCGCTTCAATGCTAGCGCTACAGCCTTATACATGCGCATGCCAAGCGATGTGTCCTGGGTACAACGAAATTCCACGTGTTTCGAAAGCGTCCCGTGATTCATCCGATTCGCCTGGTCATACTTTATTAGGGCTTTTCGGACTAGTGAAATTCAAAATTCAAAGTACCTTATTGCGCATGCAATCAACTAAAGGTTTACGGAACCTGTCAAACTGTAATCGCCCGCGTGGCGGCCGCCATTTTTCATCTTTTCCGAATATCGCTCTCTATACAAACACACTACCACTACAGTACGGACTGACACGAAATGCTCTCCGCGCGTGCGCTTTTCGTAATTCGACGGCCAGCATTAGGCAGCATTGACGTCATGAAATCCGCTACTATTGTTTGCATTTCTAGCCACTAAACACCCAAAAATCTATTTCGTATGGTTAGGATTGAAGTAACGAATTGCATTCTCAAGAACTTTTTTTCAAAGTCGCTCTGCATTCCTCCCACAGAAAAGAACTCCATGAGTTTAGTTATCACCTTCGGGCTACCTTGAACCCTATATTTCAAGAACTCAATATCTCTGTACTCGAAAAATACCCAAAAAAGTAAAAGTACCCTCTAGGCAAAGCAAGGAGGGGAACAAACGATAGAAGAAAGTAATGCTTACCCTAATCACGACCCCTTGCGAAACTTCTATTCCAAACAAAACCAAAATAGAACTAGAATCTTTGATAGCTACCTGGTGTGAAATATACACGAAGTTGTTCTTCAATTCGGCTACTTCCTGCGATAATGAAAGATGTGTGTTCTGTTGTTGTTGGGCGGAGTCGGCGGTTGATCCATTCACCATCATACCGCTCATCGGATCATCGTCCAAATCCTAGAATCATGACCATATAAACATACAAGGGCAGTCACTATGGAGATAACAGATTGCATACATACTTAGGGATGATTAAACTGTTTGCCACAAAACTGCAATTTGCAACCTACTAAAATTATCGGAGCAAAAAATGAAATTTTCAATTATCTACTTGCACTTCCTATTACGAATGCAGGAAACTAATCGATCCAGAAAAACAAGTTAGCTGCAGCAATTGGCTTCTATTTAGCAGTCCCATTACAGATTTCTCAGAAAACATATGAAAAGCACTGCAGGAAGAAATCGTACACAAAAAAAAANAAAAAAAAAGATATTGAATATGACGTGAACACTCGAATGAGATCTTATGTAAACAGCTGAGAGCAGCAGAAAAAAATATCAAACATAAAGGAAACAGATGAGAAACACTTCACTTAACACTCTGACCTGACGCCAAACATCAATCTGTCATTCGATCTGATAATGAAAAATGACAGAAAGAATGACCGAAATGAACCCCGTCCAAAAATACAAAGAATAAAAACCACTTCAAACGACTCTCTGAGCTCATTCATAACAGAACCCGAACATTATTCATTTTGGAAATGCGGCTGGTCGACTGAACTCTGTGCAAAGTGCATATCGCTAAGACGCAATCTACAATTATTTCTCACATCCCTCACAATGCAATGCAGCTCGCGGAGACTGCCGACAACGAAAGACATTCGATGAGAGAATGTGTGAGGACAACGAATCATAGAGAACAGAATAGCCTATTCGAAACTCTCTCTGCACAAAGCGTGCCATGTGCGAAATTTCAAACGACATATATATAATCCAAATCATACTACTGCCTTTCTCAGATTTTTTTTTGACAACAAAAACTCAATTTTCACAGAGTAACAACGACAGCTACACCGCGTTTCTTAATATTTCTAGACCGCTATGTTATACATGGACTATAGCTTTTTCATTGAAAGTCAAGGGAAGAGGGATTTCTCAAAAAACCACAAGCCCATAAAAGGAAACGCTCTGCAGATTCTAACTTCATGCCAAAAATAGGCATTTGTTCAACAATAAAGCCCTGACAAAATGAAAAATGATATACCAGGGAGGGGTGCAGAGCCCTCTGAAAAGAAGGAACCACATTTATCATCACACGTATCCGATCTGTGAACCCTACCTAAAGTGCGCCATTCCATGACAAGTCCCATTTAACTCCCTCCCTAGTCCCTTAGTTGAAGGCTTTCCGGAAGATCCTATATTAGAAAGTCACCTATAGAGCATTGGAGGGGACAGAAAAAGATTGAGCAGGACGAATTTAATGCCGTCGCATGTTAACTATACATTAATAAATACATCGAAACACCATATGCTTTGCTTTAATATAAATTCTAATAATAACTATGGAAACATCAAAACAAATCGAGAATATAAAACATAATACCCTCGTCTAGTTGCGCCCAACTTCTCACCCAATCATTTCTCTCACTCACAGACACTCAGACACAAACCACTTTCAGCGCACAATACAAACTATTATTATCGCAAATAGTTTGCACAAATATGAATCATGCCGCATTTATTCGTTATTGATGTAGAATGATGAATCAGATTTATTGTGCGCGATTAACGAATGGTCGTCGGCTTGCAGTGAACACTCGTTTATAGAAGATACATATCATACAATGAAAAATTCTAGCACTGCTTCCCTAGCACGAATCCTAGGCGATGTCGAATTTTCCGCTTTTCACCAAAAATTCTAGAAATTCTCAAATTTAGTTCTTGGCATCAGCCGACTACACATTTACGACGAATAGGCAGCGATTCAGTTTAATAGTGTAAAAGTGGCTAGCCATAGCGAAAAAGTGCGCGTACAGACCAGTTCCGAAATGACAACTACACATGAATATTGATCGTTGAATAAACCCCCCTTTTGAATGCGTCGTAATCTGAGAAGTTTCATATGAACTGTGTGATGAAATAAAAATTTCGTCATCACTTTATAAACAGTCAAATTGTTTGTATGACTAGTCAAAGGACGCGTAGCGCACGGAATCACCGAAAATTCCAGAACTTCATTGAAAATTTTCATATTTGAAAACAAAGTACGGTTACCAGTGTAAGATCTGTCACCTGGCAACAATTATGGTACTGAATAAGGTGATTAACAAAAATAAAGAATTCTTAAGACAGTGAAATTATAGGAATGTTACACTAATTCCGGTTTTATCGGCAAGAAATCGATGACAAGTTCATTGTTTGAACATTCCTTTAATCGTTTATCACAGCAAAAGATCAATAAACTTAAAGTTTCCTATTTAGTTGCCCTTCTTCTATTGTCCACTTGCATGCGACCAAAATAGCCACCTCAAAGAACCACCCCAGAACCATTCCTTTCCAGTTCCCTACTCTTCAGTGATGGCAATTCTGTAATATTGGTGGGGCGGCTTCACTGAATCCGTGGGCTTCTGAAATCCCAAGTTGAACACCGCAGCAAACAACCTCAGTTCTCACCCAGCCATCTCCTATTCGCAAATTTTATTACCTTTTAGAATGCATTTCCAATCGTTAACAGAAAATAATAATTAGCATCATGCACACTGAAGGTCTTTTGGGGTAAAGATGAAGAAACTGAAAGTACGGGAGCTCGCATTAATACATCAAACATCGCATTTCTAGCAGAAACCTCAAACTTTTTCCAAAACGGAACGATATATCTAAGTTTTAGTGTCGTAATTAAAATGAAGTAAAAGTCCGGGCTTTTTAACCGTTGAGAAACTCTGAGAAAAATCCTCTTTGCTTGGACTTCCTCTTTATTTTCGTGTATCCACCCCGGCCTTGCTGTATAAGTTATGTATGTGCTAACAAAAAAAGCCGACCTCCTCCCGATTGGGTGCAGTGGTGATCTGTTTCTATCAAACCGAGGGACATTTTGAATTCCGTGTTCAAATGCCAGCGAAGCGGTCGACTTTTTGCTAATTCGTAGCGCTGTCTCGTACCTCATTAGCGCAAGGGTATCCAATTAAAATGCTCCAACCCACGAGAAAGATGGCTCGTTGCCCAGTAATGGGTCACGTAAAAATCAAAAGAATCAAGCAGAAGTTCAGTAGAGGAAATAAATCAGGTCAAATATTTAAAAAGAAAAAGAAAAACTGAACTGCCGAAAGCTAAAGTAGGTTAAGGAGACTGTTTTCTTAATCGTGATGTAGTGACCTGTATAGTTAATTTGATCACGATTCGTCTAGCTAACCTGGTGCTGATCGTCCCCACTTTGCGAAGGTGTGGCCGAAATTGATCGATCAGTAGAACATTGTCGATCAGTATCGGCAGCATCATTGCTTTCTCGGCCACCATTCAGAATACTGGCCGGGTTCAAGAGGCCATTAAAGCCAGCCATTAGCGGTAAGCTCGACATTTGCACATCTTCTTCCCGAAACATCTGAAAAAAAAANAAAAAAAAATAGCTATCATACTTAAGTAGATGAGTTGTTAAGCAATGAAAAACGCGTCCAGCTTTCAAATTGAATTCGCCGATTGAAATGGCACATCTCGTTGTTGCCGCAAAGAGAAACGTACGAGTGAGAGTGTACCAAAGAAATGGAGACGAAATAGCATGCTACAGAGCAAGGTCGTAGATAAAAATTCGCAAGCGGAACTCGTCGATTTAGCTAAGAACACAGACAAATAAAGGACGTAAGAGGAATTCGTCGTGAGGCCGCGTTTGTATTATATGTAAAGAACGCCCCCACTTGCATACTCGCATAGAAAGACAGAGACGCACAAACGACGAACGTCCTCCACTTGAGAAAAACAATTAACGAGACAAATAAAAAACCCATAACACACATACAATACATTTATGATTACATTTATATACGAGCGAAGCAAATGAGGTATAACTGACTAAAACGACTCGGATGTGAATATGAAAGAAGCTGTCATAAAAATGCCAGATGACGTATATCATCACGAATCCATTTCCAAGTGCTATTATAGAGTTGTCACGAAAAGCTAAGTGGTTGCAATATCTGAGGTGTATGCATAAATTTGCAGAAAGCATCAAAACCAGTAATTCTGATGCTGTCACTTTCACAGACAGAAAAGAAAATCACGTATAAAAAGAAAAACTTTGGAAGAAAATCGAAATAAAGGTGAGAAATTCCATCGTCATTAATCTCTAAAGAAATCGTTGCACCCTGCAGATTCGTTCGAATACGAAAAACATCTGAACAAATTATAGTAACAAGGGAACCTCGAAGCCAGTAGAAACAGAAAAAAACAACCAGAGAGAATTTTTAAGGAAAAAGCTGGGAGAAACACAATCTGTTCCCACCCTCTGCGCGAAGCAACTCTACAAGGTCGTTTTCTTTCCGAATGATCTTAGAACGTCTTCCTTGAATGATTCTTCAAGAACAAATTGACAGCAACTCACCCTGACTCTGGCCTCCCAAACGATCTCTACAGAAAAATGCATATCGTCAAAGTTAAGGGAGAGGTTGTGAATGGGTGTTCGGCAAAGTGCCAAATAAATTGCACGTTGTATACGAACGGCGCAAATGTCAGTTCGAGAAAAATGAGTGAGAGAAAGAGAAATGATATGTAATAGATGGACGTCAACAGAAAAAGCCAACAACAAGGCGAAATGGCTGCGGTGTGTGGCAAACATCTGGCCCGACGGCTGGCCATTTCATCAAAAACCATTACTACGATAACGATCTTAATTCTTGACGTACAGTTTGACGAGAGTACTCTACTCGACAACAGAAAAAGACTACTCAGCTAAAAATTGAGAAAAAACAAAGGATTACCAAATTTGGTAAACAAAATAGAAGCTCCATAATGCAACCGATGAATTTTGAAAAAAAGAAGTTCAAAACCATTGAATTTCTGGAGCAAAACGGTAGCAAGTAAAATGCGAATAGGGAAAGATGCGACAAATTCGGTCCACGTTCTGATTCATAATCTTGGATGAAGAACTCTGGAAAAACCAATGAATAGTAAAAAAGAGTACAGTAGTATCTGCTCAGCTTTCACGGAGCATTCGACTAAAAACATCTTTTCAAACAGTGTTTTGCCATGAAAACAAAATGTTATGCATTAAAAAGTGAAGTGTAAACGGAAACATAGCTCTTTCTCCATGAGGTAAATGTATTGCATGTGTTTTTCTTGAATAATGAAACTATTTGATAAATGTGAACAGAAGACATTTGCAATAATTGCATATTGAATCACATGTGCAATGTGCTGCTGCTTTGCATAAAAAAATATTTTTCGCTAAAACAACACCATCTCTATCTATTATCTGAAACATTCAGAATATGTAAACAACGAATTCTAGTTATCAGAAAGCGAAAAATAGGACACTGTACAAGAGGCAAACATCAAAGATGAGCAATTTCATACTCAAAGAGGATAAATAAAGGCCCAAATAGCCTGCCATAACCTCGGTCTTTAAGTTTCACATCCTCCAGGGGTAGGGGTAAAGTTTCAGAGGGCCATATAAAACAGAGAGGTTAAGCAGTATAGCTGACGAATCGCCTCTTTGAACCTTTTACTTGAAGTACAGTATTTTGGGTTGGCGTCTAAGTACCCATTGAACTTAACATGACTCTTATTTTAAAAAAATACTCACAAATTATGGTTTAAAACCTAATAATACCATGGCTTATAAATCAATTAAGTAGAAATTTCGAAAATGTTCCCTATTATGAAAGAATGTTCTCGAATGTTTTCGCAAGCGTGCAGTAAACACCGGCAGCTTCTCAATTCAAAAAAAAAAGTTATGTATCAGCCCAATAGATACAACATGAACGACAGCTGAGAAAACAAGCTATGTCAAAGATTCTGTTCATAACAAACACTAAGTTAAAGCAAATGTACAGCAGAAGTACAACAAATAGTATCTAAACAGGCAAGACGGCCCTTAGCGAATACTCACGCAGTGCTGACGAAAATAAACGCCTTTTTGGGGTTTCGGAAGGCCTACGGACTACTTGAACTCGGTTCCTCTGCGACAGGCCGGTCAAAAGTACTGAAAGAACCTAACCTGATATAGCCAGAGCACTGAAACCTAGCCGATAGAAAGCGAATAGAAAGCGATAGATTGCAAATTGTGAGGAGGCGGAGCCGGTTGTGCAGAGAAGAGGCGGAGGCTAATGGTGATGGTCGTTTGGTCGGACAAAACTCGAATCAAATTTGGCGCGCGCTCTCCCTCCCCCAGTGTGGCAGGCAAGGGCAGGTCTAAGGGCGGACGGCCATCGCGATCATCACCAACTTGAACTTGACCGATGGACTGCGTGACCGCGGTGGTCGACGGGGGCAAAGAAATTAGCGAGAGATAATGGGTGCCGAACAAACTCGTACATGAAGGGGTGTAGCTCTGCCAATTGGAGACGCTGCTGCAACTGACTGATCAATGCTGAAAGCAAATGCAAAGAGTTACTGGAGAACGATGCAAATTAGGAGGATTGGAGCCGTTACGACATGAAGCAAGCAGAGACGCAGACAACGCTCGGACCGGGAGTGAGACCGCCGCGGTCGGGGCCAGCCGCGGGCCACCGCGACCAGCTTCTGGTCACTCGACGGCGGCGCCGCCCCGTCGACGACGTCAAGTCGCGGACTCCCCATTCTTAGGATGCTCCCACGCGGAAAAGTTTAGATTATTATTGCCGAAAATGGTATTGCTTTTATATTCGACTGCAATGAACGCCCATCACCGCTCAGTGGTCTCATTGATAGACATTGTTGTCAGCGAAGGCAAGCTGAACTCGATCCTCCAGTCCCTCTGACAGCGTTCTCTCTTCTGAAAGCTTGTTTCTCAATAAAGAACCGTTCTCTTAAAGATAATCGGGATTGATCTTTTCCAAAGCTCGAGCAAATTCCCACACCCCTACCCTCCACTGCTGGAAATACTTTTTGAAAATGCTTGGCCAAACATTTCGAACAGAATCAGATTTTTAAGAACTTCGAGTCCTTTTGATATGAACTATTCTGAACGGCCGAGTAGAACTAAAATCACAAGAAACCAATGGGTTGGTTCTTTGGGCCCTCCTTTTACAAAAACAAAGACGCTTTCCAACTTTCAGTATTTGTCCTAGGTTTCTGGAGGTCCTGGAACGGCCCAATTGATGTGAACTTCAAACATCAGAGGATTGCCATGTTCTACTTCATGGAAAATTGAGAAGTGATGGTACAGAGTATCTATCAATTCTACACTACACACCTCGAGACCAAACTCGAACTAGAACTGTCCATTGTGAGTCTTTAGCATTAGGGCAATGCGTAGGAATGATCATCTTGCTTCATCTCTCGTGCAAACAGTAGCCCTGTAGTCTTTCCTTTACATGTTCATTGAAAAACATCAATGATTATAGACAATTGGACAACAATCATAAATTCCTACTCCACAAAAAATTGAAGGGGAACCACGGGAAAGAGAGGGTGAACTGATGGTCAGCCAGCCCAACTGGGCAGCCAGAATCTGGGTTCCTCCAACTTCTTTCCGATTTCCGAATGCCGACTTCCGAAATTCGGTGTCACACATTTGGAATGTCCCTACAAGTTTGAAGTTCTATATGACCCTACCATTCCACAATCAGCATGTCATATTCCAAGAAAAAAAAAGACAGAAAGTGAAAGGAGGAAAGGAAGGAGAGGAATTGAAAGAAGAGGCTTCGAAACTATCTTAAGGGTAATAGGCTCAGCTAGACCAATTACGCTTTGGAATGCGCCATGCCGCCGATTCTCATTCAAAACCTTAGTAACATGTGAATGCACAAGAAATCTGTAGAGGTAAACAAGTAAGAACCGAGTTCGGAAGGACGAAATAAAACTGCTTACGCAGAGTTCTATCGCGAAACCATGTGAGTTGTAGCAACGCTACCTGCTACGGCTCCAATTTCTGCCTCATATTTCCAGAAAATCCGACAAAAGAAACTAAAAACGACTTCAGCTCAGCTCTGATTCACAGCGAAGCAGTGAAAATTGTTTAGTATAGCCCCACGAATCGTTAAAATATTCCATGCTGTAAACTTGTTGTATCAGGGACGAACAGCTGTGTGTATATGTGGAGAACTGACTTACACTGATTCTTCAATAATTCATAGGTTAAGACGTGACTAGTTAAATACAGCTAACAGCTCTATCCTATTACACAAAACCCAGAGCGCTCTGGAAAAACAAATATTGGGGTAAACCGGCTCGAATAGGAGAAATCAGTCTTTTCTCAACTGCCCCACACAGTGAAAGGAAAAGTGTTATCAAGCAAAAAAATGAAAGTCAACGTATAGACCTTCACCCTTGGCTGCTAGTAAGAATGGGAATTCACCATAGCCAGGCGAAGTTTCGGTCATAGGAATCCTTTTGATTGGAGATTTATAGTCTCTACAACCCTCCTCAGCAGTTTCTTTTATGATGGATAACACTGCCAATAAGGTTAAG